CGTTTGCTGTCCTGCATTAAGATAAAATGTGCAGTTAATACATTAATTTTGAAATCCAATACATTGGATACATATTGATGAACAGTTTTTATTGTACTACGCACATGTTTACAATTCAGATATTCGTTGTATAAGGGTGATGGCGTATGTTTATTTTTGTTAACTAGTCTCTAAAAGACAAACAGTGAAAATGATATGAAAAAAATAATTAAAATTAAACGAATATTGACTATCCTTCGACTAAAGCATCCGACTATTCGACTAAGCTTTCCGAGTAAAATTGACATCCCTATTAACAGGTCCAGTCCAAAAACTATTTCTACCTACGTAGCTATTAATAGCTACCTAGGTATTTAAAGCTACCAAAAGTAGCTATTTTTACCTACTTTATATAATTTCTGCATTTTGCGACCAAAAGACCAAACGGCGCAACATGGTGAACACCATATTTTTTGATACGGTCACACTAATGATGAATACGACAAAATTTTGGCCAAAAAATGATTACTTCCGGAATCGGCAATTTTACATTAGTTTCTAGGCAAAATTGATAATATACGAAGTTATCATTTTTTGGCCAAATTTTTGTCATATTCATCATCAATGTGACTGTATCAAGAAATTTTGTGCTCAGCATGTTGCGCCGTTCCTCCATTTGGCCACAAAATGCAAGTAAAGCAGAAAGTAGGTAAAAATAGCTACTTTGGGTAGCTTTAAATACCTAGGTAGCTATTAATACCTACGTAGGTAGAAATAGTCTTTGGACTGGACCTGATTAATATGTAATATATTTTATATGAAATCGAAAGAGTGTTGAACCTTTGATTTGACCTATATGAACAAAACCATGATACATGTTTACATAACAAAGGCTCTAAAACGTGTTATATTTTGACCACTAAAATTCAAATTGACATTGATCGCTGCAAATACTTTAGTTGAATATTTGTAAACATAAAAAAAATTGAGAAAAAAAACATGAAATGTTGAGCTGAAATTGTAGATTCAGAAGATGCTAAAGTACTGTTCTCAGTTTGTAGTTCATTAATTATGCTTTCATGGTAGAAATTGTTTTAATATGAACCACACATCTTTTGATTGATTGGTATATTGATCGACTGCTTCTTCCACAAGTGCCGTTTTGCTTATCTGATCTCGAGTGTAACACAATTTTTGACTGGCATCATTAAGATTCCAGTTTTCCGTTTATTTGAATTGTAATGATCTTTCGTATATATGATCGCAACTGTGCATTTTATTGAAAATTTGGTCAATTATCCATTCCTCTTAATTAACATTTATCCGGCATTGTTCAAAATGTTAGTATATTTCAATGACTTTAAAATGCATTAAACATGTTTTAAAAAAAACATCCCACATTATATTTACCTTATCTAACGTCTTACTTTCATTCCCATCAACCTCAAGGAGATCTAGTAAGTGGCCATCCTCTGAATCCTCGGACAGCATAAATCATATGATCCGTTACACCCATATATAACCGTTACGCCAGATTTGCAAAATATTATCCTTAGCTTCAGACGCATACTAGTATATTTGATCAATGAGATTGCTGGAGTCTTTTATTACTCTAATGGCCACTACTTATTTTATAAGTTTTCATAACATTTTTATTAATTATTTTTTATTTTCTTCTTTTCTTTCCTTGATTTCTTTATTTCCCCAAATGTTCCGTTAATCTATTGTTGATTTTTAAAGAAAAAGACCGAATCAGAAGTACCTAAAGACCAATCAAGAAAAAGGAAACACAAAAAATTGAAAAAGGTATATCTTATTAAATAAAACAAAACCAGCCAAAAAGTGCTTAATATCTCGTATTAAAACATTCATATAAAATATCAATGTCTTTATTATATTTAGAAGGATAAAAAAGGTACTGACGACGAAGAAGAAACTACAGAGAAAAGGAAAGAACAGAAAGCTGTCAATAAACCTCTCGTATGTACAGATTTTACTAATAACTAGTTTTACAATGCATAATCTAAAATTATCTCACAATGTTGGGACTTTGTGAATCTATGCTTCAGGGATGAATTAAATCACGAGGAAAAACATCCACATATGCAAGATGTGAAATTGTATGCTGCATGTATATTTCAGTATGAACATTTAAAAGATACAAAATATCAACAAGGAGATCGTTTGCAAATCTAAAACACCATCTACTTTTGAATAGAAATTTTCATTGTTTTGGTTAGTTTTCATGCATTTTACTTTCTTCTACTTGATATTTTTTGTATTTAATCCCAATTTGATCCCAATTAATTCCCTTTATAAGATGGTCTTCAATTCTAATTCGATAAATTGTAATTTTAAAATGTCTTAATATATGCGCTTACAAAAATACACTGGTAAACTATAATACTTTAATTTTGTTTGTATTCTACCCTGCCATTGGTTGACTTACAAAAATGATTGCAAATAATTCTGTGTATATTCTGGTTTGGTATGGGGACACAACCCCTTGGCAACCAGCTGAATAATCTGTATCCATGCAATCCTCCCTCGCTTCCCATCACTTCCGTTTCTAGGGTTTACTTATTGAGCGGCAGATTTGAACTCGTAAAAAGCGAGCAAATTTTACATCTACATTTGTTTAATTATTTTGAAATTAAGTTATAAGAAATTATTGTAATTCGTGGTCAAATTATTCGAGTAAAACCTGGTTTGGGTCATTTTACGCTTGTTACGGATTATAAAGCGTAAACTTTTCCAAACCGGGTTATATCGAATAATTTGGCCAATAATTGAGGTCATTCCTTAAATAAATCAATGTTTCACCAAATATGGCCACAGTTATAGTTTGATATTTTTTTGTTTGTTTGTATGTTTTTTTTTTTTTTTTTTTTTTTTTGAAAATGGGGGAAAATTCATAAGTTTATGATGTCACAATAAGCCTTTAGAAAGTCATATGAGACAAATGATTTGAATGGTCTTTCTGCAAGGAATCTCAATGATCCAGAAAGCATTAATTTTAATTATTTTTATAGGAATATTTCGCACATCATACTTAAATGAAGCGAATTTACTTTTTTTAAAGCATTTTTTACTGAATTAAATGAAAATTATAAAAATTTAAAAATTGCAGGTTGAAAAATTTAATTATAGTTTCATATCAGATTTTTAAAACGATTTTTCAACTGATAGGTAAATTGGTAGCTTAATAGTGTGATTTTGAGTCTACAATAATCTAAGGTCTTCAAGAAAGCGTAATAAAAATGTTCTAAAAGAACAAGTAGCAAATAAATAATCTTAAAAATCAAAACATAGACTTTAAGAAAACCTCTTTCATTTTAGCTCACCTGAGCCGAAAGCTCACGTGAACTTTTCTGATCACATTTTGTCCGTCGTCCGTCCGTCTGTAAACTTTTTGCATTTTTTGGCTTCTTCTAAAGAACAACTGGTCCAATTGTAACCAAACTTGGTACAAAACATCCTTTGCAAAAGGGGAATTAAAATTGTTCAAATGAAAGGGACAGGTCTTCTCACAGGGGGAGATAATCGAGAAAAGGCCAAAATAGGATAGGGTCATTAAATATCTTCCTCTCAAAAACCACTGGGTCAGAGTAGCTGAAACTTATATGGAAGCATCCTCGGGTATTGTAGATTCTTAATTGTTCAAATCATGACCCCCGGGGGTTGGGCGGGACCACAATTTGGGATCCAAGTTATACAGCAAACTATATAGAAATATCTTTAGAAATCTTTTTCTCAGGAACTACTTGCCAATGGCCAGAAAATCCTACTCTTATTTGAAAGAATCCTGGGGAAGTGTAGATTTTAAATTGTCAAAATTATGACCCATGGGAAAGGGTTAGGTCGCAAAAGGTATTACAAGGGGTAAATCTGGTAATCAACTGCATGATAAAAGCTACTCAGGTGAGCCCACGGGCCTCTTCCTAATATTTTTTAATAAAGTCTTTGAAATCTGTCGTATTTCTAGTACTCTATAAAAAAACATTATTATTTAATTTTTGGAACTTTGTGATGCTCCTCTTAAAACAGGACGGGGATTTTTTTTTGTGTTTCTCATTAAAATGGTGGATTATAGTATAACTCATCATATTCTATAAGTTGAGCAGCAAGTTTATTGTAATTCTTGTATATATAATTGCTTTCAAGTGCGAAACATTTGTATTTTTTCTATATACATGTAGTCCTAAAGTAAAAGTACTTGTATTTTGAAACGTTCATCGAAAAATACCTGAATGGTTGATTTTTCCCAAACTTGGCATGTGTGATGAAGTCAACGTAAGTTATATATGGTGTAAAAATAAATAGTTTCTCTATTGTAGTTCTTTCATACAGCAAACCCCAAGTCGAATCCCTTAAGAATTATTGTAGAATCACAAATTTTCGTGGGGATAAAGTTTCGTTGATTTGTCATCAGAAATGGTTTCGTTGGCATATAATATACATGTAATCCTATTCAATATATAGTCATAGAAATTTCGTGTGGGATTAATTTTCGTTGATAATTGTTAACAACGAAATAAACGAAATTTAATCCCCACGAACATTTGACTGTGCTTTTACAGTAATCATATATCGAAACGATGAGAAGGTATGATAAATTTTGTTAATTTCAGAGAGATAATGAGAAAGATGATGAAAATAAAGAGGAGGTGAATGAAGACGGGGTATGTGTTAAGGATGAGTTCTACGTTGTGGGTCACAGGAAGATGAGAAAATATGTCAATTACTGAAAAAATGAAATTTCTCATTATTATATAATTTTTTTTTCACTTTTAGGACACATTTTTTTTTTTCACAAAATGTAAATATTTCTTAATAAAAGTTAAGATAAAAACTGCCCAAAAGCTGAGGAACTAACTTCCTCAAATATCATCATTTCTGTTTGAATCAAGTATGAAATCAAAACCTTAGAGATTAAGTCAAAATACGGAAATATTTCCCGATTATGTTTAAAAAAGAATAATTCGCATAGGCACTTTTTAATATATATTTTTTTCTGGAACAATGTTCTTAAAAGTGACTTTTTATGAGAGTTCAGTCGGCAAAGTGCTGGCTTCGTGAACAGGAGATAGAAAAATCGAATTTCGGTAGCTACTGACCTAAGTTGAAAAAAGCTATAGGTAGCCACTCTTCCTTCATTTAGCGCCAGGCACTTTTAAGTGAAAGTTGTAGATCCTTCAGACGAGACCTTATCAACTGCCATTCCCTGTCAAGGCAAACATTGATAAGATAAAGATTCCTCACTTCTCAAAGGCCGAGTATAGTTCAACGATCAACGTTATAAAATATTAAACTGTAAAATCACTCATTTTCCCGGATGCTTAATTTTTGTTTTTTCCTTCTATAAAAGAAAACGTCTTCTTGCCCACCGCGGGGTATTCATTTTCAGTTAAAATAAATACTCAACACTTCTCTCACCACGAAATCAAACACCAAAAATAAATATTTTCGCAAACCTCGAAAATTTGACCCCACTTAAAAATGTGTTCTGAATAATTATGTTCTATTTTCCCAAACAATTAATTTTCATAATCAGAATGAAATAGAGCAGAATTATCAATTTACCTTTTTTAACACCAATTTTGTCTGCTTTATATTTTTGAAAACGAGTTGAGTGTAATATTTTGGCTCTTTGATTTAAAACTTATATTTGTTCGAAATCAATCATATTTGGTATGTACTGGATGCATAATTTTTTTGTTTATTTATGACAGGAAAACACAACACCAAAGAATCATAAGACTGATAAACGTCGACGAAAAAGAGGAAAATCAAAAAAGAGAAAAAAGGTAAGGATTTCAATAGAAGATATTAGAATAAGTTAAAACTTTAAACTTACTGTCTGTGTAGGATGACAAAAAAGTAGCATTTCAACATTTTACAGAGAGATGATGAAAACTCTGAAGAAAATGAAGAAGACGAGGAGAATGAAGGAGACGAAAATTTAATGTTTTCTGATGCTGTGGTATGTGTTAATGTTGAATAAAATGAAGTTTCTTTTCATATCATAGATTAAAACTTCAATTGCAAAAGTCTTAAGAGAATCATATTCAAACATTCTCTGATGACGAGATATGTGTCAAAATTTTGAAGTAGGTTCATAAGGTTAAGTCAGTAATATCGCTTAAATTTGAACAAAGCATTGATTAAAAGATTCATTGAAAGATTTTCGAGCAATGGTTGATGCATTATACAAATGGCAGAAATTGGTATTGGCTTTTAAATGTGACAATTCGACGAGATTTTAATTATCATTTTTCAGCTCATCTGAACAAAGGCCTAATATGTTTTAGAGAAATTTTCTAATTTTCTTTCTACGTTGTTTTTGTTAAAGTTTCTCATTTTTGACATTCAGAACACATGGTCAATTTTAAGATAACCTGGCACAAATCATACTCTTTTTAGAAGATTATGCTGAACATTAGTACATATATTCAATGCATCTTTAACAATCTTCTCGAGAAAAACTTGTCCGGGTAATAGGAAACATGGTTAGAGCTTCAACTGACTAGTTGAAATATATTTGTTCAAATTGTGACCTAGAGGGTAAGGCGGTGCCACAGTGGGAAAGAGGATCTACTTGGTAAAATCAAGTAAAAATGAATTTTTGTAAACTTATTCGCATGAACCCCAAAAAAAATCTATGATAAGCCATATAAAAAAAAATCGTTATAATGTAAAATATTACTCCCTCTTATTATTGAGTGATATTTATTTGTGCAATGATTTTGTCAAAAAACGATGGCTTCAAATGTAGAATCAAAATAGATAACACTTGTGTCCGATTAAAATTTGAGCGACTACGCCGTTTGAACGCAAAAAACCTTTTTTACAGTCTGTCTTCTTCATTTAGTAATAGTATAACGCTGTTAAGTAAGCCATAATTTATCTAATAATGTATACCCTCGAGTCTATAAAAATGAAAACATGTTTCCTTCCTGAATCAAAATTAAGAAGACGTCTTGAATCGCACTTTCAATGAATTTTAGTTGTTTATTTTTAAAACATTTGCAATTATTTGAAACATTTTGGATTCTCCTAAAAGCTACTTGCTCGAATCTTTTACGTAATTTTAAAATCTCAAAACGCTTTTAGGTGAAATTTGAATGTATTTGATGCTTACAAATGTTACATGGACGGTGTCTATAACCCCCCTCTGCTACGTAAAGATTATTTTTACCATAATGTATGTGTTTCGTTTGAATTATTTTGTATATAGATATTATTTTATTTTGAAAAGTGGACAAATTTGGTACGCGCAATATTAATTATTTTTCATGAAAGAAAACGATCATGTCTAAAGCTAATAGGACAAGCAGAGAAAGAAAGAAGAGAAAAGAAGAAAGATCATCGAGAAAAGCGGTAAAAAGATACTAGATAAATTCAATTAAATTACTTGAATTTTGCAAAGGACAATCAAAATTGTAAAATAATTTTAATTAGAACTTGAGAGGAGAAGGTATAATTAATTTTGTTAATTTCAGAGAGATGATGAAGAATCTGATGAAAATAATGAAAATGTGGATGATGTTCAGAATAATGATAAATTATCCTCTGATGACGAGGTATGTCTTAAAGATAAGTTGTAGCTGAGAAAATAAGGTTTCATTATCTAAAATGTTATTTAATAAGGTTTGCTCTCTAGCTTAATTGCAGATTTGATCTATTTGAAACATTTAGGGTGAACTCACCATGCATCGGACACCCTTGTACTTCAACAAGTTCTAGCGATATCGCTACCGACGGAAAATTATCAAAATGGAGTTTAACATTTAGTTTGTGATAAAAATATCAATTTAGGACATAACTATATGCCCTTTATTCAGAAAATATCCCCAAACATCGAGTTTTTAGGAATAATTGAGAATTCACAATGGATAGGACAGGCGGTATTTAGACCGGAAAAATATCATACCTTAAAATGCTTGATATGGATTATTTTTATATTTTATCTAAGAAATAACCCTCAACTTTAATATAATTGACTATATCGTTGCACAAGTGTAGAACGATTCAGGACACCTCACTCTGCCTAAGAAATGCTTTAAAATACTTGAAATGCGGCAATTCGCGCATTTTTCTCATGGTTTATCATACTCTGGTTTGTAGAAATAAATTGAGTCAAATTCCAGACGTTATATACCGATAAATTGAATTTTAACTGAAAATATAGAGATTTTATTTTCTTGCTCCGCAAAAAAAAAAAAAAAAACAGCTGTCAACTGAATTCTGTATGAAAACGGTAGTGCCTACCTTTGCATCGAAAAGTGTCCGATGTACAGTGAAATAAGCATGCTAGTAAAAACCAGCTCTAATAAAAATTGAACAAACATTCAAGCGAAATTTCTTTATAATTTATGTAAAATTACCAATCCTTGACAACATTCAACAAAGTCTGACTCGTTCCGTGGAAGTCGAATTTAAAGGAACGATAACTCTAAAACTTGCAAAATCATAAATTTCGGGTTATTTCCCTTTGGCGATGTAAAATATGACGTAACTCCAAGGCCATTCTCGGGATATTTTTAACACAACACGATAAACACAATCGGTATCATCAAAAAATTTAAATCTTCATTTTTAAGACTGAAACAAATAAATACACAGAACACTTAAGTTGAAAAAGAGTTTATTGCCTAAAGTTGTCAAAAGCAAGGTATGTGTCCGATGCATGGTGAACTCACCCTACATGATGTTTTAGTCCATACAAGAAATTTGGATTCTATAATTAAGAAATAAAGTCCGCGTTTTCGTGAATGTTGCAGGATAACCTCCGAGGCCTCGCTAATTAAGGAATGAAGCTATTTTCACTTATGTTATACGATATAACATAACTTAAGGCAGTTTACGCTTCGCGGTTTATAAAGCGTAAACTGCCCCAAGTTATGTTATATCGTATAACATAAGTTGAAATTAGCTTCATTACTTATAATTTAATTTCAGTGTAGACAATGAGACAATTTTTCCTTCGGAAAAAAGGCTTCAAATATTGCATAATTTAAAAGTAACGTCAAGCGGAGTTATACATTTTTGACGTAACTCATTGTGACGTAGGCAAGTTATGTTATCCAAACTATTATATGTTCCTCTGAGTGATTCAGCCAATGAAATTGATTGATACAAGTGAAATTGAATTATTGCTAATTAAAATGCTAATTAGAATGCTAATTAAACTATATTCAGCTTAAACCCAATTACTTAATTCCATACCGAAAACATTAAGGTGAGCGATTTTATTTTGTTGGTGAAAAATGCTTACAAGAAAAAGTTCATTTTTTCTCTTTTGAAGTATTAAGTGTTGTTAAGTTTGGATTCCCAAATTTACAATTTCTGTTAATCTTCGGTATACAACTTTCAAGAAATCTATGTTAAGTACAATAGCATGTGTAAAATATTTGTGATGTTTTGTTGATGTATGAAGTTTCACTCCATTTAATTTAATAGAATTCAATGTTGTCCGTTTTAAAATCATTCTTTTTTAAACTACGGAGCATACTTTACGAAAGTATAACGTCAGAAAATTAGCGTCAAAAATACACTAAAAATACTATCCATATACATTTCACAATGCATTCTTCAATAATCACTTTTTAAAAACCTTTTTCTAGCACTAAGCATTTATTTTCTTTTTTCATTATTTCTTTTATCACTTAATTTAGCTTTTAAGAAATCAGCATCTCTAAAGTGATCCTGTCTTTCCAAGACGTTCGAACTTTTTAGAATTTTTGGTGAGATTTTAGGAGATGAACTGTCTCTCGTCCGATACAGAGTTTCATGATTCCTTTAACATTTTTTAGAGTTTAATCGGAATCTTTCTAGAGTATAACACAAAGTTGCAAAAATATCTGCTGCTCTGTGGCGTTCAACAACGTAATGAAATATGTTGTCTTCAATGAGGAATACCTACATGTATTTTCTCAGATTGATTTCCTTCATCGAAGCACAATATTTAGCCATAATTTGAAATATGAATCATTGTAACAATTTTTAATTTAATTGTTTATGATTTTTTCCCTTATTTGCTCAATTTTGCAGAGAATATATGACTACAAACATTGTCATTTTATTTAGTGTGCTATTTGTACCGGGTAAATGTCTTTATTTTGACCTGCTCTGCGATCCGACTTTTGCAGTATTATATTCAGGATAGTTTTGAATTAAATCCTGATTATGTATAAATTTTTGACGCTAATCACTCGAATTTATTTTTTAAATATTCTACAAATTTCGGATACCATATGACTTTTAAAAAGACATGACAGGAGTCCAAGAAATTTGAGAACAACACTAGCATTCTTGTCCTACATTATCTATTTTTTTTTTAACTGTCATGAATATCATCATTTTAGGTAAATATATCAAATATCTTGTGAAGGTCCTAGGAAAAAAAGACCGATTAAAGCTAAGAACCAATATCAAAAAATAACATCACTAATCCACACCTTTTATGTGGT